AAGGGCTAACACACAGAATAAAGAACTATAAATCAATTTTAAAAAGACCATTAATTCAATAGGAAAATAGGCCAAAGATATGAGTAAGTATTTTATAGAAAGGAAGCCAAGTCTTTAAAAAAAAAAAAAAAAGTAGAAAACCTCCAAAATGACATGCAGCCTCTCTTTAGAAATCATGGGACTGCACTGTATTCTACCCAATGAGGGAAGCACAATTTATTTACTCTTTCTCCTACTGCTAGATAATCAAGTCAGTTTAATATTCATTACTAATAACATTATGCAGAATAATTTATTCATTTTGAGTATTTCTAATTATATTTCCTTAAATTCGATTTATAGAAATAATATTCTAGCAATGATATTAATATTAATAAGCATATGAACACTTCCATGGTTTGTGAGAAATGCTGTCAAATTATCCCACGGAAAGCTTAAACCAGTTGCGCTGCCACCAGTAGAGCACAGGAGGTGCTTGGTTTACTACCTCACCCAGTAGTCCTTCTAAAATCTTTAACAATTCGATAGGCAATATCTCAACCATTTAATATGTATTTATTGGATTACTGGTATGGTGGCCAACTACTGTTTCTTGTCTGTGATTGGGGGTGTTCCCAGAAGACAAGTATTATACTGCTAAAACAGAAAAAGTCCTGGTCTAATTAACTACTACTAAGATAAAACATCTTTTTTTCAGCAGTCATTTGTATTTTTTCTTTTACTTGTAGTAGTTTTTGCTCTTCTTTTTCCTATTAATAAAAAGTTTTTATCATTTCCTTAACATTATTATAGAAACACTTTTCCACATTTTTTTCCATGGTCATCACATTCAGAAGGTTTGGGGTACTACACTTCCTTTTTTCTTTCCTAACTTTCTTTTGTGATTTGAGTGAAAACGTACAGAGCAAATTATTTTTCCATTCAACAATGCATAAACCTATTGTTTTGTGGCACTGATGTGGTGACACTGATCCCCACAATGCAACAGCACTCTTCCCACTTCCTCCCTGTGTTTACTGTTCCTATTTCATCCTTGTTTCCTATTCATTCCTGCCTTCTGAGCTTCAATGATGTTGTTAAGTACTATAAAATAAGTTCTGACTAGTGACGCTGTATACGGTTTCCGAGGAGTAGCTGGTGGGTTTGAACTGTTGACCTTACAGTTAGTAGTCCAGTGTGTATCCTACAGTATCACACCAGGACTCCTGAACTTTATCCCTGGGCAAACACTACCTTTTGATTATCAACTATGGTTGATAGTTCTAAGGAGTGCTTACTTCCCTGATGTTATTGTTCATCTTACTGGCCTGTCTATTGCTTGGCTGAAAGTTGAGTCACTGGGGTGAGGTCAGTTCCAGACCTGAAGCGTGACTAAGAGCCATAGCCCTAGGGGTTCTACCAATCTTCATAAGACCAGTAAGTCTGGTCTTTTTCAATGAGTTTGACAGTTGTTCCAAAACATTTCCCTACTCTATCTGCTATTGTGGTACATTTCAGAGCAGAAAGCAGTGGCAATCAGGCACCATGTAGTTCTTCTGGCCTCAGGGGCATAGAGACTGAGGTTTGCAGATCCTTTAGTCCTTTGGCCTAATTGTTTCCCTGTTTATTTGCTTTTCTTTACTCTTATTCATTCTAGATGGGGAGATACCAATAGTTGCATTTTAGTATATGTCTATTTTAGTCTAATTAACTAGCTCCTTCTTTTGAGATATTTAGTTTGTCAAATTGTCATAATCATAAATAGTTCTGCCCACCTCATAGGGCTGTTTAATAAGAGTCAAAAGTGATACTAAAAACCAGCGCAAATTGCTACAATTTGATGAATGAGACTTCTGCCTATGAATGCAATGACTCAAAATTCCAACTAGAATGGAAGGATTTTTCATAGCAAGGAACAACCTTGTTACCTCAGTGTAGTGGGCTGATGGTGGTGGTGGTGGTGATGTGCTGTGGAGTTGGTTCAGACTCACAGCAATTCTGTTAAGGATGAGAAATTTAAACACTGGCTATCAAAAATGTAGGGGATACAAAGGCATGAAGGGGCTGATTTACAAGCTTTCATGAGTGAGCTTAGTTGCAGATTAAGGGGTGTAAGGTAGAATCCCCACTGAATAGTTTCCCTCTTTCCCAGATGAATCTGGTGAAAGGAGATGTGGGACGAGACAGTGATAGGATTTTAGGACTCAATTGTGAATAATTGTTAGCAGGATTAATTGTGATTATCACACTGTTATTGTAGAAGATGTGTAACTAAAAGGAGGGAAGAGGTAATCTTTCATTTCAGGAACAGACAATCCCAGGACCATCAAGACAGAAGAGCATGTGTGGCGAGTGAGATCCCTAACTAGAAAAGCAGTGACCATCAAGATGCTGTGTGCCTGTGGACAGGAGGCTGTGTGCCTGTGGGCACTGTGTGCCTGTGTGACGGGCAGAATGTGCCCTTTGGACATTTAAATAAATATATGTATTTATTGTTTTGTATGTATACATCAAATATTTTTGCCTTGTTCCTTTGTGAAATATAAGATGTAAATGGGGAGCCAAAGGGAGGAAGTGGGATGAATGTTGTTACAGGGAGAGATCTGTCATCACTGAGATGAAACAAGCTGTATGGTTTGCTGAATGTATAGTTGATGATCTTGTTTGTAAACCTTCACCCAATTCACAACAAAAAGTTAAAAAAAGCGTCAAAAGAGAGAAAGTGAAAAAGTTCTAAAAGCTAAATTAAGATGATGATGGTGGTGGTAGATGCTGGCCCAAACAGGTCAAACAGGCGCACTCCTAAAAGCTAGAATTGTGCCATTTTTGTTTTTAATTTTTTTAGTATAAGCATACAACAAACGCTGAAATTGATGTACTGGTATCCTTCCTTAAATATTTTCCCTCATATACAATACTGTTGTTGTTAAGTGCTGTGGAGTTGGTTCCAACCCATAGTTTCTAGGACTCATAGGGTTTCAATGAGTAGCTGGTGAGTTTCAACCACCAATCTTATGGTTCAAATGGACCTTACAGTCAAATGCTTATTGTACAGTACAGCACCACATCTCAATATCATTGCTAAACAAAGATGGTCTTATAAACTGACTTAATCATGCTGCTAAGAAATTTACTATACAAAAAGCAGTATGTTACAATTATTATTTTTTCTCATGCGGTTTTTGAAAAATTGCGATTCTACACTAATTTGTACTTCCTCTTCTCCATGTAGCCAGAAAAGGCTTCATTCTATAAGCACTCACCTTGGCCAAATCAAAAGGTGTTTTGACCTCTGTGGTTGTATCAAGTTCAGCAAATGCAGGAATTTCCTGTCTGTTTCTCCCTTTCCGTCTACTTCTCTTTATCTGGTCTCCTGATTTCTGTCCATCTGAAACTTCTGTAAAGAAGAAGAAGAAAAAAAATTAAATTGTTGTTAAGTGCCGTCGAGTTGGTTCTGACCCATAGCGACCCTGCAAGGAGTGGCTGG